ATCGAATTGCTGCTTCAAATCCCCCTCTACCTACCAGGGCCGTGGTGACACCATCTTCTATCTCTTCTCGAAATTAGAATGTTTACTTTTCTCACTCGTGCTTTTAAAACACATAGTTTGAACTCTGTTTCTGTTTTCTGTAATAGAATACATTCTCAAGGTTAGAATGGCCTCAGAATAAACCGTGAGATGGGACCCCAACTCAAAACGCAATGTTTGGGATGCAGTTTAGACAGGGAAGGGACCTCTACCCACCGTAACGTGTGTTTCGTCCTTATCACGCCTTTGCTGACGCCTGAAATAAGTATTTGAAGTCAACGTGTGTTCCAAAAATCGTGTGCTCCAAATTGAGCAAAATGCTTCAAATGCAAATATCCATTTACTTAAATTCACGTTAAGAGTGAATGATGCTCCAAGGAAAATTGATGAAAAGAGAAAGACTCAGCAAGTATCTGAGGATGTGGTAAAAGCCACCACCACCGAATGGGAATGATCAGGTGGAGAGGAAAAGTAAAGCCTGGGAATTTACAAAGACAAAATTTGTTGTTGTTTTTTTTAAACCTTAAAAAGTAACAGACTTTTCACTGTTAGAGACTCAGAATGCTACTGCGTCCATCGTGAAAGCTTGTATAACTGCGCCACAGTTAACTCGGTTGGTTACAAAATAGTCCTATTAAGTTTTAGGCTCCCTGTTTGACCCTGTTTCTGTTGTATGGCCTGGGATTACATTCTTTATGCGGCGAGCTATTTTGTAACAGTTGGAACAGTTCAGGATACTTTCTTTGCTCATTGGTTTCAAAATAAGAGTGCAGATAGAGTCATAGTAATCACTCTTTGATTGAGTAAATATTTATTAAGCTTCCAGTATAGGTTACATATTTTGCTGCTGCTAAGTTTCAGATAAAAGTTTTGGAACTACTACTTCAGACAGAGATTAAACACATGGTCCCTACATTTATGGAAGCCTGGGTCTAGCATAGGTTATAGAAAAATAAATGGAAAATTACTGTACAGTCTAACATGCCCTGCAGGGGCGAAGATCCTATCACAAAATCCTGGCTCAGGAGAAGAGGACAGATGAGACCTTTCCAAAAATGGTCAGTTTCCAACAGCATAACATGTGTGGATGAGTTCCTATTGCAACTGTAACAAATTACTGGAAACTTGGTAGCTTAAAACAACACAGATTTGTTATTAATATCTTATTGTTCTGGAAGTCAGAAGCCCACCTGGGTTTCGTTGGGCTAAAATCAAGGTGTCCACAGGGCTGTTTTCCTGCTGGAATCTCTAGGGAAGAATCTATTTCCTTGCCTTTTCCGGCATCTAGATGTTGCCCCATCCCTGGACCACGCCCCGCCTTCCATCCTCAGAGCTGGCAGCAGCCAGGAAAGTCTTCGTCCTGACCCCATGTCTCTGGATCTGATGCTTCTGCCTCCCTCTTCTCTATTTAAGGACCACTGTAATTGCATTGGGCCCACCCCCAAATCCAGGATAATCTCCTTATTTTAAGGCTATCTGATTAGCAACCTTAATTCCTCCATGCCACTCATCATAACATAGTCACAGGTTCTAGGGTTAGAACATAGACGTATCTGGGGGTGTTATTCTACCTACCACAATGTTAAAAATCTTCTTTTATGAAATAGAAGAACCTTTAAGTATAAAATACTTGACTGTGTATAAAACACAATTAATGTCTTACTAATCTTTTGTGGATGTTTTAGAATAAAATTGTCCAATTTATATTCCTAAGAAGAGGTAATATATTGATATCAATTCATTACTTTTTTTAAGGTTTTCCCCTCAGTTTATTTCTTCAGTTTCATTCGATGGTCAAAACCATTATTGCTTGGATTAAATGTGAAGGCTTTATTGCAGATTGTTGGTATTTTCAGCAAAACCTTTTACAGTAGTCTAGCTTATCTGTGTGAAGCAGGAATTTTGATATGCCAGAAATAGAAAGAAGGAAATGAATATTATAATTTAATTTTCAGACATCATTTTTTGGAGCTTTGAAACAAATACCTGTCAGTTATAGAAAGAACAAATGGGTGTGTATGAGAGGAAGGGGGAGGAAAAGAATGCCCACGATCGCATTCGTGCACTGTTTTCATGCATTATTGTCTGTGGCAGGGAGATAAATATTCATTAGTGAAATGCCTTTCCAGTGGAAGCCAGCCAGGGGCAATGGCGTATTTATAAGACAGAAAGCTCACTGGGGTGGGGGCAGGGGGACTGGTTTTGTGACTTCTCAATTGATACCTTTCTGGTTCAGGCAACATACATCACGAAAGTAGACACATTTTAACACACCTCCCAACATTCTAATCATTAAAATTACAGCTCTGTGGGTAATGTTGAAACATCTTTCTTGGGGCAACAGTGAGGCTCCTTTGGGTTAGAAGCCAAACAAATTTGTGCCAAAGAAAGGGTCCTGGTGGGCAAGAACTTGGTCTTACTATCCCCGCTCAGGAGGTTTAAAGTGGGAAAAGGCAGGGGGTCCTGTGTGCGAGGTGAGGGTCTTAGGGAGAGCTGAGTTTAGAGATACAAAGTGGGGAAGGCCTGAGCTCTGGGAAGTCCAATCATGGAGCGGTTTTATGTTCCAGCCACTGTCCTCAGCCCACCCCATTCCTTGGCCCCAACCCACAGAGAGGCTGTGCTTTCTGCAATAGTACGTCCCAACGCGCCTTACTCCAGGTCATGACTCGAGTTTGCAGCCTTCCCTCTCTGCCTGGGGGCTCCAGCCAAGCCCAGTGACGGGGAAGGGCCTGGCTTGCTGGGGGGGGCTCCATAGATACCCCAAGTGGAAGGGGGAGTGTGAGGTCTTCAGAGTCCTGCCAAGAGCCCTCTCAGCCCCCTGACATGGGACATGCACTCTGGTACAGTGACTAACCTCTGCTCACCCTGTCCCTGCCCTCGTTTTAGCAGATTCTAAGAAAAACACAGGAAAACCCCTTCAATACCTCTTACGGTAACCACGGGGCAGAACTGCATGTGCCGATATGACCAGAGGCCAATCTTGTCAATGGTCCATGCCTGTCTTCACAGGGGAAGGAGAGACGGGTGTGGGAGCAAATGGTTTTGGGAGAGATGAGTTGGCCCAGGAGGCAGAGATTATCTTGTGAATGATTCTCTTTGAAAATTCACCGAGCCCGAGAGACAGATGCTAACTTGTGAAAAAGTCCATCCAGGTGTGACTGTACTTCTCCATCTTCTTTTCTTCCATAGATAAGGAGATTCGGGGAGGGGATGGCAGGCAGCTGTGCTCTCCCTGGTGCGTCCAGGCTGAAGGCAGATGAGGGAACGGCCAGGGATCAGCCTCATCTGTGCTTTGGCAGAGACGGAGGGCTGAGAGATGCAGGGTTGGGGGTGCCAGGGGATGAGGAAGGTCAGAGACCCTTGAGGCTGCTTCTTTAGTTCAGCAGGGCAAAGTGCCATATTTTGGGGTGTTGTTTTCTGAGCCCCAAACAGTGTTGTCATTCCTAGCACCATTTCCAGTGTGTAGAAGGCATTTAGTGTTGGCTGTTGCTGACTGTTCTTGCCAATCCCTGAAAATGTCAGCGTGAATCGGTCCCCAGCTCTACACTCTTTGCTTTGCAGATGAAAGAATAACGTTCCCCTTCGCAATGTCAATCTGTTTGTCTTTTTCTTTTTCTTCTTTTCCCTCTGCTCCTCCTCCTCCTCCTTCCTCCCCTCCCCTCTCTTGCATGCTTCAAGACAGAAAAGCAGGTAGCAGATGCTCCGTGTCTTCACGCCTGAAGTCCTTCATTTGGCCTTTATTCCCATAAGACTTCTTCCTCTATTTTACAATGTGCATAAGATATAATTTTTACCAAATTGCTCAGGATTATTCTTTAAATTGAGAGGAAGGAGTTATATTAAATAAAGTTTTGTAGTCAGAAAGATTTGGGTTTGGATCTCAGCTTCTCTACTTTGGGACTATTTGACCTTTGGGACTTTACCTAAATTCTTTAAATTTTAGTTTTTTTGTAAAATAGAGATAATATGCCCTATCTCATAGACTATATAAAGTATTTAGTGTAGTATCTTTTACATAATAGGAACTGAATAAATGGTAGTTTCAAAACTCGAAAGCTGGTATTACCAATTACCTTTATAACAATAATAGTCATTTTAACAATCTTCTAACTTACTCCTAACACATTTTTTAAAAGATTTACTCCTTAGTAAAGAAATGTCATTTTACAATATGTAAGAACAGTGCACAACGGTTTATAATCTGTTGTTTCTTCACAGAACTAAAAAATAAAACGTTTCTTTTAGAAATACTTAAACTTGAGATTAATGGTTAGAGACAGTTTCGAGTAACCCAGAGAAATAAATTATCGTGATTTTGTGATTTTTCATGAACAATAGGAATATTGAACCTAATACTCAGAGAAAATAAGATATGTCATCAATGAACCTAGCTGGGCTGTCCTGGTTGTCACTGTAATCGATTTGGTGATCAACTAACTGGTGATCTGATTAATTGCCTCGTGACCCTCCCAAGGAGTTCCCACAGAGTTCATTCATTGCCTTGGAAAGATCTAGCTTGCAAGTCAATAGGCAGTGGATTTATAGATAAATTTACTTAATTGAAAAACCTGGTTAGCATTCAATTGCTTGTTCATGAGCAATCACTATGTGAAATGAAATTAGGTTTCAACATTCGGATTTATTTTCATTCACTTGACCTGGTCTCTAATGCTATAAAACACAAAGGTATCAATGGGCAACCTTCATGGAAGTGAGCACACCGGAGGCCAGCAGGAAATCTCCCACCGGTGTGGTCACGCTTGTGTCACGGCTAAGGGCTCCCCAGACCTGTGTTCATCAACATGGTCCATGAACAGCTTCTTGCTGGTCTACAGGAGGTGGGTTCAAGAACTGAGAGCTGAGAAGAAGTTAAAGCTCTGAAACTGAGAGTTTAGAAATAGAGAAA